ACACCTTTGTTTTTGATAGTTCTAATAAAAAGAATAAATTAAATATTAGTACAGCTTTGAATCATTCTGTTAGGTTTAGTGTTTGCAGCATATTACAAAACTTCCACGCGTGCGTCTCCGTGTCAGGTGGTAATGATCACTGCGGCTTCATTAGCTGGGAGTTGATTCCATCAAACTGTCATTAAAGTGTAATTGAACCATACCGTGTACCATTGCAAAAGCATCTACATTAGTTGTGTTTCTGCAGTCCGTTATTCTGTTACCTTGTTACCGTCTTTCCCTATAAATGTGCTGGCGACGTAGTGTGAATGAAAAGCACTTAACGGAGTTAGCGCCGGTTTTACATGGATACTGGCCTGAGGAGGGCTAGTGACGGTCATGTGATCGAGTCTTTTCTGATAATCACTTGAACGCAGCACCACCGCCTGCTATGAGCCGCTTCATCATATCGCGATAGACACCGCCAGGCCACGGCGCTACCGTTGAGCAACATGGCGGAAGGTATGTGACTGATTTTTGGGGCAGTTTGACACACGCCCTTTTATCCGCGTGCGCTTGTTTAACTATATCACCGACTCGACTAATGTCTTAGCGGTGAAGGAAACCGAGCATAGTCCGTGGGTGAAAATGCGAAGCGTCGCGACACTTATTGTCACGCTGTTCTTTCCACTGAGAAGCTCTGTCGTTAGCTCTCGCCTATGTTGCTAGCTGAACTGTATCGCTACGAGTTAGCTTAACCAGGCAAGAAATGCACGTTTCAAAGGAGCGTGCTGGTTTGCGAGGTCCCAGAAGCTGTGTATCATCTCCAGTAATGTGCAGGTGTTGCTGGTAGAGATTAGTAAGTAAGTGTTAGCTTCATGAGTCTAATCAGACTGTCCAGCGTTGCTTCATCTGACCATGGTCAGAGGTTTCACTGCTATGGTAAAGTTTTTCTTTTATTTATTAACACATCTTGTTATCAGTCGTAGTAAATGGAGAATAAATGCAGGACAGGAGACTTGACAGGACAGGTTACATGTCACTCCGTGTCAGGTGGTGTCATCTGGACCACCTGACAGGCAGGTGTTTGGCCTACACACAGGAGGGTTTGCTCTGTGCTTGTCCTTAAGGGAGATCTCCTGAACCCAGGGAGCAAATACACCCGTCTGTGGTTAGTAGGAGAGAGGATATACGTGCTTATTTACTGCCCTATCTGTGGGTCGGTGATACAGTTTGAGAGCATTTTTTGTATGTACTAACATTTTAAGATTTTGGATCATTGCCACATCAGGTCTGTAAGTGATTCTGACCACAAGTCCTGACAAACAGATTTCAAGTTGCCTCAGACTTCTTTGTTTTAAAGCTTTAATAAATGATTGAAAACTGTGAGCCTGGAGAGGAAGACTTTCCTGATGCCTGCTAGACTGTTCTTATTTTGGGTCAGTGTTTTCTCACTTCTCAGTTGGTCCTCAGCAGCAGGGTTACGGTTGGCAGCATACCACCCTTCCTGTGCTGAGCTGGTCATGTGGTTTTCAGCAACTCCCCCTTTCTGTTCCTCATGACCAGTAGCCTCCCCTGCAACGGTTTACGAGGACAAAGTAACGAGCTACCTCAGCATGTTTTTCTTCACTAAAACTTTACTGACTTAAAGGAAGGAAATGAGCCTCTGTGGGTTAATATTGTAACATGATGATGTGCAGAAAGTGCGTTTGACTTCAAGAATAGCCTCGAAGTTTGGCCAAACAAAATTACTGTCATTAGATTTTCCTCTAGCTGATTTATAAGACAGCATGGTCTCTGCCGTGTGAAGGGATTTTAAAATATCTGCAAATTGGCTTGTTTCTTAACACACACACACACAGAAACCAGCGTTATGAAAGTAGTCAGTGCTCAAGCGATGTTTCTTAAGCTTTTAATACTACATGCAGTCAACACTGCTATAATAATTATCTTTAAACACTGGTGATGTTATCTGCAAAATGCCAACAAAGCTTGTAACCTTAACCCCAAATAATATCTCCTTTCTGTGTGTGCTTTGGACCACCCTGCTTGTTTGTAGGTGAAAGTTTGCTCGCATCATGGCGCTCAGTTCTAACCTGTGATTAAAGTTTTCTAGCTCACGTTCCCTCGCCCTGCCTCTTCCTTTTGCTTCATGTGCAACAGAGGAGGTGGCCAAGCTGCAGAAGCACCTGGCCCTGCTCAGGCAGGAGTATGTGAAGATGCAGCAGAAGCTGGCTGATACAGAGAGGCGCTGCGCCATGCTCGCCGCTCAGTCTTCTAGTCAGGGCTCTCCCACCCCTGCAGCCGCGGAGACCTTCATCAGCCGTCTGCTGGACATTGTGGCCGACCTCTATCAGCAGGAACAGTACAGGTGAGGGTCATTATAGGGACGCGGGTTCTGTGGGTCATCTTTTGAGTGCTGTCTGTTTAAAAATGGCTTTGAGTAAGACTAGAAAGTGTAAGTGCCAGACAATTCGTGGTTCCTCGTTAGTTTGTGTCTTATTAAAGTATTAATATGTTTAATATGGACGATCTCAGTGATGAATGTGTTGGTTTTGCAGTGATCTAAAGGTGAAAGTAGTGGGGGAGCAGATTCATGCCCATAAGTTTGTGCTGGCTGCTCGCAGCGATGTGTGGAGTCTCTCCAACCTGGCTTCAACCAACGAGCTGGACCTGTCTGGTGAGCAGCTTTTAAAGGGCAGTTTAAAGTCATTATTCCCATCTCAGCTCAGTCAGTGTGTTGATGGGTGATAGCAGAATATTTATTTTGGAGAGAACACTTTCAAAGTCCACTGCGGGGGTGGGAGGTGGGGCGGTTCGTCCCTGCTTTGTGACGAGGGGATGTTTTTTGTTCTAATTTGTCTTAAAACTTTATTGGTTCTCAGATTGCAAACCTGAGGTTGCCATGGCAATGTTACGGTGGACATATACCGACGAGTTGGAGCTGAGCGAGGATGATGCCTTTCTCATCGACTTGATGAAACTGGCCAACCGCTTCCAGCTTCAGCTGCTCAGAGAGAGGCAAGCAGAAGAACTACATGCTGAGTTTTTTGACTGCATTGTTGATGGTGTCAGTTTTGCAAAGTGTATTACGATGCCACACATGTGACACGCACACATACATGTGCTTCTTGGCTGGGCCAGGTGTGAAAAAGGCGTGATGTCCTCGGTGAATGTCAGGAACTGCATTCGCTTCTACCAAACAGCCGAGGAGCTGAATGCCAGCACCTTAATGAACTACTGTGGGGAGATCATAGCCAGTCACTGGGTGAGTAACTTGAGCCGCGTTTGTGCAGCGATGAGTGTGTCTCTGTTTGTGCATGTCCAGCAATGTTTCTGGATTGCACAAGCTCGTAAGATCTGACAAGTCAAAGGGGAACTGCCTGTTTTGCTTATTTTCCAACAATTCAAATCCAGCTTTCACTGTGTTTCCCGTGGATTTGTTTGAATAGCAGGCTGTTGACTGTCAGCTTCTACCGCCCCCCTTACTGTTGTATAGACTCGAGCTTTGATCTCAGTCTTTGACAAAAGCCAGCCTTTCTTCGTCTGTGATCTTTGAGGTCTTAGACGTTCTCCATCATGAGCTCGGTCTTTTGTGTGACGCTGTTTGTGCCTTTCATTAGGATGATCTGAGGAAAGAAGACTTCAGCACCATGAGTGCCCAGCTTCTGTACAAGATGATCAAATCTAAAACAGAGTATCCTCTCCATAAAGCCATCAAAGTAGAGAGAGAGGACGTGGTGTTTCTGTATCTCATTGAGATGGACGCGCAGGTCAGTTCTCCACACAAACTTCCCATCAAATGCTTATTTAGTGACTTCGACACGGTGTAACCAGAATTGTACAAAACCACAACGTTTGGTTTTGTTACTGGTTTTATTATTATTGATTGTTTTCAGTTACCTGGCAAGCTAAATGAACTTGACAACAATGGCGACCTAGCATTAGACCTAGCCCTCTCCCGGAAATTGGAAAGCATTGCAACCACTCTTGTGAACAACAAAGCTGATGTGGACATGGTGGACCAGAGCGGCTGGAGTCTGCTGCATAAAGCCATTCAAAGAGGTGAAGTTACTTTGTATCGCCCGCTTGTTTCCTGCAAAATGTATCAACTTTGTTACTGTGTGAAAAATGT